AATAGACACATTCCAAAGCAGGACTCAGCGGGCTGGGAGCATTAGCAAAGACTCGTGGATTTAGGCCCTGATTCTGCAAAGTCCTTAAGCTTGTAAGGAATTTGTAATTTGCTTGTAAGCAAATTCCCATCCGCTTCAGTGGCATTTAATCACATGCACATAAGTGCTTCATGGCGTACCAGGGAGCTGTACCTTGGTGGAGGTGGGATATTGGGACTCCAAGCAACCAAATTCTTTCCCAGTCTGTTCAGAGAAGGGTAAAATAATGGAATCATATTACAGAATCATAGAATGGTTTGGGTTGGAAGGGATCTTAAAGATAATCTATTTCAAGCACCCTGTTATGGGCAAGGACATTTTCCACTAGACCAAGTTGCTCAGTGCTCACCCAGCTGGTCTTTCTAAGAAATAAAAAATGTAAGACATAATTGGAGAGCAGATTGTGAGAGTTACTGTAAGCAGTTATAACAAGGTCTGCTCCAGCCCTGCCCTGTCTAAACCCACTCTGCTGGGAGATGCTGGGAGAGCACAGCCTCTCCTGGCTGCTTCACCTGAAAGATCACCATGCCCTGTGGGAAACAGATGACTCAGATGAGTAGCAGAGAGATATAAAGCACTTAAGTGTGCTGGGGTGTAGGAAGCTTTAAATTATCTCTGTGGGTTGGTCAGGGCCCTCCACCCCACCCCTCTCTGTGCTCCTGTCATTGCCTTCATCCCCTCTCCACTGGTCCCTGCAGCTGCCAGAAGCCCCTCGTGCTTCCCTTGCCATCCATCCTCCCCCTGTCCCCGTGACACGCTGCACGTGTGGCCATGCTTCTGGTTTGGATCATCTTGCTGGTACCTGGCGTGTCTTTGGCAGACTCCTGACACTCAGCTCCTGATTGCTGAAGCCAAGGGTCAATCTTCCTCCCTGGAATGTCCTGCCAGTGCCAGGCTTCACCCACAGCCTTGTGCCAGCCTCAGATGCTGGGTTTGGGGGAACATGTATTGTTCAGGGTGGCTGGAGGGCTCTATCTCTTCTCCCCTAGACTCTCTAATGGCTAGAAAACAAACCATTCCTGATTAGGGATCTGTAACTTTGCCAGGTCTTTTTTTCCTCCCTATTCCTAGAGATGACTTGCACTGAATTGCTGTGAAAGGTACCAAACAATCATCAACAACAAAAAAAAAAACCCAGCAAATTCTCAATGGATGAAATTTCAGTAGCCTGTTTTCTTCCTCACATCCTTGGTTATTTATCTCCTGAGAGCAGGAAAGGAGGTAACGTGAGGGAGCATCCAGGGAAGAGGTGGGGCTGGAGGAAGAGGAGTGAAGGGCTGGGAGAGGGGTGTAAATCAGTGCCTCTTTCTCAAGGCCAGAGACTGCTGCAGATTTCCACCAGCTGTTGCTGGGGCTGTCAGAGAAGGGCTTAACAGGGATGTGTGCACACACAGCCTACAGGGAGAGCTGCTTTTATTTGTTCACATCCAGCAGGGGTTGAATTTATTACCTTTGCAGAGGGGCAAGTGAAAAGCCAGAGCGTCACTTAAATCCCATTTAAAGCCTCAGATTAAGGCTTTGCAGGAAGTTAAAAAACAGGGAGGTGGAGATAGCCTGGCCAGATCTGGCTCCATTGCTTGGGGGAGTGGGCTACAAATCCACATGGCTACAAAGCCAGGGGGACAAGTGAGGCTGTTGTTTTATCAGTGGAGCATCCTTTGCCCCAGACCTGTAGCAGTGACAGAGTGAGGAAGTGCCAAGTTACCTCACACTCATGATGAGCCTCCAGCCTCTTATTGGAGCATAAAACACTTAACCCCCAGGTCACCAGGTGGATCCCAATTCTGCCATCCATTAAGGAAAGAAGCTTATCAAAAGGAATTGGGAGCCCTCATCAAGGGCCTACCTGCATTTGTAATATTTTAATCCTCATGATTTTTGACATGATTCAATATTCTATACCTATCTCACTTTTGCAAGATGCCTAAGCCAATTCTTGGCAGAATTTGTCCAAAGTGACTCAGCCAAGGTCACTCTTAGATTCTGTGGTCGACCTGGGGATGGCTCACAGATACCCCAAGTCTTGGCTGAGCACAATAAATGACAAAATCATCTCCATCTCGCTCACTATTTTGGTCCCCTGATTTGTCCTGCATCATTAAATTTTTACAGTGCCTGACTCCAGATGACTTAAAGTTTGTGCCTCCTGTCTCCATTAACTGCAGAGCTAAGAGGTTTTGTTCCTCCCAGCACAAGGGCTGGAATGTGAAGACTCAGCGACCAGCACAAGCAGGAATTTCTCCCATCCCTGACAGCTGTGTAACTGGACATACACGCTCCTGGTATCTTTCAGAGCATCAGTGTGGCTTTTACACGTCCTGGTGCTGCATTTTTTTCTAATCAGCAGAATTCAGGAGGGATCTGTTACAGGATTTGAACAACGATGTTGCAGTCAGCAGAGCAGCAGGGTCCTCTTGCATCCCTGCCAAGAGGTCACATCCTGCATGGATGGAGCGAGCACAGGAGCTCTCCAGCCTCCCTGCTCCATCCCTGGGCACTCCTGGGTGACATCAGCACCATGAGATCATCTCTCTTGACTGGCTAGATTTTCTTACAGGTTTTCCCTGGAGGGCTTCTGGTTACTCTCTGGTTGCAGTTTCTCTGCTGTGAGGACTTCTGCAGGCTCATGTTCCCTTTTCCATGGTGCCCAGATGTTGCTCCACCCCAGGCTCTCCATGCAGCTGTGGCTCCATCAGCTGTCAGAGCCACTGTGCTGGGAATGTTTGTGATGGGGAGGTGTTGCAGCCACCTCTGGCTGATCCAGGCTGTACCCACAGCAATAGCCCTACTGGAAAGTTTTCCTGGTTTGCCATGGGGTTGAACTCTGCAGGAAAGATCTTTTCTTTCCTCTGCTCAGCTTTTTCTCTGCCCAAGCACACAAACCTCTCCTCCACCATCTGCCTTGCAGGAATTTTGGATCCATGCACAAGACTCTGGCTGATATCCTGGCAGGAAGTCCTCAGTACCTAAAAGCTGGCCATGGCTGGTGATGCTCAGAGGTCTCAGACTCAGGTTGCAGCCCTGGGAGAGCAGCAGCTCCTTGGCACAGGAGGAGCCCCTGGGAGTGCAGGGATGAGCAGCTGGGGGCATTAGGAGGTGTGGCAGTAACAGCAGCCTCCCTGTATCACTGTGGTGGATGGATCCTGAAAATGCCCTCACTGCTTCGGATTACTGGTGACAAAAGGATATTGCTAAACTGGCAGAGAGGAAAATCACAGTCACAGCAGCAGCAAGAGGGACCTCCCCAGTTGCAACCTCCTTAGTCACAGCTGGATTACCAACCCCATCCTTATATTTTCCATGGGGGCGGCATGAGTAAGAGCTGACTCCTAGGGATGTCTGTTGCCTCCAGAAACCCTTAAGGAGAAAAATGCTGATGGGACTATCAGGCTTGGCTTTTCATCCCCTTATGTGGGATGCTGAGTGGTTGTGCAAGGACTGGGATGGTGACTCAGGTACAGGACAGAGCCAGCCCGGGGGGCCAGGAGGTTGAGGACTGCCCCAAGCATCCCCAAGGCAGTGTCACTGGCAGGGGATGGCATGCAGGGTTCAGTCTTTTCCACAGTATCTGCAACACCTCAGCCCCTCCAGAGATTATATTTGGGGTACAGACTTGCCTTGCAGAAGATCCCCAGCCCCTCCAGCTCTGTCCATGGCTCTCCCTGTTTTGATCAAAGGCGAGTTGGGAGTGAGATCAGATCTTGGGAGTCTCTCAATATCTCCCAGATGCTGGATTTATGCACAAGGGGCAGTCTCCCAGGTCACCTGCAGCTCCAGCCATGGGTATCCTGGGAGCCTCAAGAGCCTGACTCAGCCTCCCATGGCTGGCTGGGCTGTTGGGGTGCAGGAGAGGGAAATGGCAGCCCCCAGCTCCCCAGGACCAGGGGCTGCACCCAGACCCCAGCGTGATCCCCCTCTCTGTGGAGACCTGGGAAAAGTAGGAATGTGGAAGAAGGACATTCCCACTTGGGCAAAAGCGATGGGAATAAAACCTTCCTCCCTCAGCCCTGCCTGCCGAGGCGGTGGGAATGTGAGCTCAGCCCCTAGGCGACTTAATGGGCTTTTAAAAACCCCTTTGTATTGGATCCATTTTCTTCCCAAAGCTTGCTGGCCCCGCTCCAAGGGGAAACCTTTGATTCTACAAATACACCACAATTATCATCCCGAGGAGTCTCAGCTATCGGGCTGAGAGGTGCTTAAATCATTTCATCCTAAGAAAGCCTTGGGCTGTAACAGCTTCCTGTTGCTCGGAAAAAGCCACCCCTCTCCCAAAATCTTGGCTCCATTTTTCTCCCAGTGATTCCCTCGCTGGCGGAGGCAGGGCGGGCAGTGCTGCGGAAACCAGGCCATGGAGCTTCCGGTGATTTCATCAGCCTGGGACCCAGCTCGGGCAGATTTATGAGCTCACAAGAATCTTGCCTTGGATTATCTCCCCCTCCCTCTTTTTATGGCTCTGCAGAAAGGGATTGGGCGATTGAGCCCTGCTGGGTACCGTGACAAGCTCGCTCTGTTTGACACTTGCAAATATTTTTCTCCACCATGGCACAGCTCCATGTGCTGCTCGGGCTGCTCTCGCCAGCATCGCCGCCACCCAGCACCGGGAAGCTCGACTTGGCATGGGGGAGATGCAAACCAAAATCTTGCAAAAGCTTGCATCCACTCCCTGACTCCTATCCTTTCCTCACGACTCCCCTAAGCTCACCTCCAAGTTGGTTTTTATTATCCATCCACTCCCTGACTCCTATCCTTTCCTCACGACTCCCCTAAGCTCACCTCCAAGTTGGTTTTTATTATTTTTTTTAATTGTTGTGCAGTTTTTTGTTTTGGTTTTTTATTTTTCTTCCCAGAAGTATTT